ACTGCACGGCAATGAGGTGACCGTCTATGCGGACCAACTCCCCGGGATACGCACCACTCGTTCATCCCCAGACACCTGTAAACAGAAAAAGCAGATAAGTCGTCATGTTCAAAAAGGTAATGACATCTATACACGAAAACACCACATTAAAAACACTCACCTAGCAAAAAACGACCACTTCTTTGGGTGCGCCACATGTATTTAGGATCATGCCTGGTAGATGATGGGCGATGCACCCACATAGTCCCATTGCTACAGGAGCAGAATAGCTTCTCATCACTGAAAATCACTGTCTGCCAGTTGTCTGATGTCCATTGTGCAAACTGTTGGGCTAACCCAACTCTGTCCATTTTGTTAGTTATGGTGAGAGCTTGTTTTTTTAGCAGGTCTTCTTCCAAAGAGGTTTGTTTCTTGCAACCTATGAATAAAATAAAAGTATGTATTATCCTGCTTCCTACATTTCTGTATACGCAAGAGCACGTTACTAGAAATGTCTAGTGGTTCATCTTATTGATAGAAATATATTTCGTTGAAAGGTTAATATATTATACTACAAATGTTACTAACCTCCGCTTCATTGTGTCCAAGGACACGTTCAGGTCAACCACAGACCTCAGTTCCAACGCTGTGGCGAACGGACTCGTCTGGCTTTCCACCCTGAGTCGCTCGTCTTGAGTGGGAGTTGTCAGGCGCGGTCGGCCAGACGAGTGTCCCAGCGACAAGGACTGTGTGTTGCGGTGCAATTTTATTATTCTTGATACACTTCGTGTTGATATTTCTAGACATTCCGCAATGTCCACAATGGACTTGCCATTGTCTCAATGTCTAATGACTAGTTCTCTGATGTCCTTTCCAATTGGCTTAGGCATGTTGGAACAATTAATCCAGCACTTCAGCAAAGACTTTATACTATCACTTTCCTCACAATTGTATTTGATTTCAGTGTAACAGACATACATAATATAGAGAAAAATGTGTCCTTATTTACTGTCTGTCTCCTTCTAATTACTGCAGGTGTTCACCTCAAATATTCTGCTAAATGCAACACATTATGCTAATGAGTTGCATTAGCATAATGTGTAGCATTTAGCAGAGTCCTGGAATGCACATAATCCGTAAATGGCACTTTCCCATTGTATAAACACTGTTATGCCTCCAATGATGGCTTTCCCGTAGAAATTCTGTGTGGTTGGTTGGTTGGTTGGTTTTTGTTTTTTGGCACAAGAGCTGTATAGGCTATGCTGCGCCAGGGCTAATGGTAAAAAAAAATTTTAAACATGATAAATAACTAACATATGGCAATAATAAATAAATAAATAAACAACAACAACGGAAATAAATATACACATAATAAGTACAAAAAAACAACAATGCACAAAAATGTGATAAATATATAGATAAATAAATAATTAAATTTTTTTATACAAATTAGTGACTTTTAAAAAGTCCAATACATTATAACGATTTGGTCTCTGGCCCAGAATCTCTTTAAGACTTCATTTCCAAAATGCTGTCTACNATAATAAGTACAAAAAAACAACAATGCACAAAAATGTGATAAATATATAGATAAATAAATAATTAAATTTTTTTATACAAATTAGTGACTTTTAAAAAGTCCAATACATTATAATGATTTGGCCTCTGGTCCAGTATCATGTATGCCTGATCTCAAAGGCAGAGCAATCGAGCAGTATGTGTTTAACACTTCGATAACAGTTGCAATACTGGCATACTGGTTGCTCTTCGCCCTTCAAAAGTTATTGATGAGTCAACCGAGTATGTCCAATCCTCAGACGACAAAAAATAACCTCAGATCTCCTGTCATAGGGTTTCTTATATGTCCAGTTTTCTGTCATAGGTTTGATCTTGTGTAGTTTATTGTGGACTTGTGAATTCCAAATATTTTCCCATCTCTCTGCTAGTCGTTTTTTAACAAATAGCTTCAAATCATCTCCTTCAATATACATTGTATGCTGGGAAGGGCTTGCTGACTTTGCAGCTGCGTCAGCTTCTTCATTTCCCCTTATACCTATATGGCCTGGGACCCAACAAAATTTTACGAAAATATTACTCACACAAAGATGGCAAAACAGTTTATGGATTTTAATGACTACAGAATGAGAACTAGGTTCACACGAGATCAAAGCCTGAAGTGCACTGAGTCAGTTTAAATCACGCAGTGACCTTTTCTGATTACATACTTTAAGGCTAGGTGAATAGCCTGCAGCTCTGCAGTAAAGATGGATGAATTCAATTTAATTTGTTCTGTTACGATTTCATCTTGGCAGACAAAGGCTGAGCCAACATAGTCTTCCGATTTCGATCCATCGGAATAAATAGGAATTAAATTCCTGTCACTTTGTTCAATTACTGCAAAGTGCTGTCTATATACGTAATCTGGCGTGGTTTCTTTGGGGAACTGCTTTAAGCTTAAGTCAACATTTAACAGTGGAGTTGACCAAGGTAAAATACTGTCAACCTCGAGCTGTGAGATGTTGCTTGTGTTAAGGTCAATCGTGCTGCTTACATTCTCCATTCTTATGTCAAATTCAGGGACAGACGGGCTGCAAATAATCTTTTCAGCTGAGTATCTGATACTGTATAAGTATCAGATATAGATACACCTGAAGACTTATACAGGCCCACCCTTTACATGTGTACAAATATAAGATATTAATAAAAAATATTATTTTCATTAAAAGATATATTATTTATAGAACTTATTTTATGCCACTACTTTACTGGAACCTAATAATGGCTAAAACTTGTTAAAGAAAACTCTTACATATTTGAGTTTTATTGTTAAATAAATTTCTTTGAATCTGGTAACCTGAAAAATTTTCTCATGATCCCTATAGGGATCACTATCCACAGTTTGCAAACCACTGCTTTAGGCAACCATAATTAATTTTTCTTTTGTAATGTAAAACTAACTTATTCTGTTATTCTCACTTTTAATATAGTAATGATTTGAATTGTATGTTCATTGAATTGCTTTTCCAAAAGAAAACAAATGCAACTTTTATATATAAGCAAAAAAAAAAAAAACAAAATTCAAAGTTTCTCAATTTTTGCTGATAATGTAGTGTTCAAACCATAACTTTTAAGTTGCCACTCCAAATCAAAACGAAAAAGACTTACTATCAAAGTACAGTCGACCCCCCCTATAAGACCGTTGATAATTCCATTTTATATGAATTCCATGTTGTAAGAGTCACTTAGATTTTACAAATACATGAGCCGTTCACAGCCCGGCGCACGTATTTGTAAAATCTAAGTGACTTGTACAACATGAAATTCATATAAAACAAAATTATCAACACTGTTATAGGGGAGTCGACTGTAGTGAATATCTTGATGAGAATATTTCTTATCAAGATATCATAATCTATACCGATGGTTCAAAAATTGTAAATAAAGTTGGTTGTGCTTTTGTAGTCTTTTCTGACAACATTGAAATATATCATCAAACATTTAAATTGGGGGAATTATCTACAATCTTTCTAGCTGAGATAAATGTAATTCTTGAGGCCTTAGTGTGGACAAAAGAGAATACGGATTCAAAAACATCATCATTATAAGTGATAGCGCATCTGCTCTAGCAATAATTAAAAGCAGTAAATTAAATCAGATTTCTACAAAAATTAAAGAACAAATAACAGCTTCAACAAACAATTATAATTTCATGTGAACCAGAGTACATGAAGGTACCTTTGGGAATGAAAGAGCAAACAAATTGGCTAAGTCTGCCACTAATGATCCTAAATTACCGATAATATACAACAAAATTAGCTTACAGATGGCCAATAAACTATTATGGAATGACATTTTAAACAAATGGCAACAGAAATGGAGTACATACAAAGAAAAGACTATGTACAAGTTCTTCCCAATTATAAAGGACATACACAAATATAATTGGATACAACCAACACATCTATTAACACAATTCTTTACGGATCATGGGAAATTTGCAAATTACCTAAACAAATTCTCTACCTTAAATACAAATAGATGTTCAATATGTGATATTGTTGATGGGAGTGAACATTATATATTCAACTGCCTAATGCTTGAACAGGAACGGTCAGATTTAATAACAATTGTTAATCAGTACGGCATTTCTTGGCCTTGTTCACAACATGACTTAGTTAGTAGAATATTCACTTGTTATTATCTGAATATACTTATTAAAAAATTCAATGACATCAACACAATTCATACTTACATGATGGTGGTCACACCATAAGCCAAGAGCCTAGTGACTTATGAACTACTGCACATATAGTGATAACTCAAAGTAACTTGAAGTCTGTATAATGAATAAATATTTTATGAAACAACAAAATATTATTGCAATTTTAATTCATAAACTTTATACAAGTGTAATTTATAACAAATTGATTTAAAACATGATAAAAACAAATTTTATAACTGAAGTGGAAATAAATTATAAAAAATGTATTAAAAGTTCTGACAAAACTGATTCTTAAATATCAAGGACAACATTCCGTTCAATAGAATTAAACAGTAACCTTGACATCTGACCCACCTCCAACAAGGAAGGGAGTTTTTGTTTACAGAGTAACGTGATACTTCGCGCGTTGTTGTCGTTAACGGTGGGTGTGGGTGGCAGCTCAATTGACACCCTGTTGTGAAAGTAATAAACTTTAACCGACCTTGACAGACGTGTCTAGTTACTAAGAATAACAAGTGGGGAGAAGTT